TTTTTTTTTCCCGTGTCAGCATCTCCAACCAACAGCCTCGTTCAGTAGCCTTTTTTTATTATTTTAATCATGAGAACCAACACACAATCCAACTCACTAGTCTCCTACACCAACTTCAACAACCGTGAGCAAGCTTAAACCAGTAGTAGCAGAGGGTTTTCCTTCATCTCAGCCACATGTCACACCTCTTTTTCTCCTCACCGAAAGCACCAGCTGCGCCTCTACATTTCCAGCAGCAACCTTCTCTTCTCAGCAATGACAACACTAATTTCAATAACATGAGTGGCAACAACAATGATCAATAATAATAGTACCATAAACAGTTGAAATCTCCTTCTCAACCACACCAACCTCCACCTTAATCTACCAAGAATGCCACTAGTAGCGTTACTCCCTGGCCAGGCAAGCCCCTTACTCCTTACCTCCTGTTTTTTTTTTTAATTACATATAAAATATGAATTAATTCATGTCTTGCAACTGGTGGCACTTGCCAATAGTTGGGTAAAGTAGGTTATACCCTCAGCCTAGCTTGTCTAAAAAAATAAAGAAACAGTTGGGCCTTTAATTGATCCAACTCAACCAAAACAGGTTGGTTTAGGTCTTAGGCCGAACCAACCATCTCCCTTAGATTAAGGTTGTGTTTGGAAAAACACACCTATATGCCTTACTTTTAGTTTTTAACTTGTCTTTATTTTGATATCCAACCAAAAATGCTTTAAACAAAATTTCTAAAAATTCTAAAAAAAAATCAGTGATAATTTTGAATTTATATATAGGTCCCTCGCATGTTTTTTTCAATAATCTTGCTTAATATTAGACCGTAGACTTATACTGTAAGTAGGAGTGTTTAAAAAAACATATCAACCGAGAAAACAGAAACGAGATAAAAAAACCGATTAAACTGATTTTTAAAACCATAAAATCTAACCAATGCAGTTTGGTTTTGGTTTTACAGATAAAACCGATAAACTGAACTGATCCAACCTAAAAAGGGTATAAATTACCCTAACCCCTTTCACAAAAAACCGTCGCATACTTTTCTCATTCTTTATTTTCCTTTCATCCACTCTGCGTCTCATCTCCCTCTCATTCTTTCCTTTTCTATTGTGGATCCTCTAACCAAAGCTCTCACAGCTTGTTCTACTTTCTAGATCTCATCGATTTTCTGACTCTATTAGTTTATGTAGACAAATAATGGCTGGGTGTTTGGAAGAAGATTAACATTACAGTTTGTTAGTTGAGTTTTATGATAGTGTAATGGCTTGGTTACTGTGTTAGTGTTATAGTAGTGAGAAGGAGAAAGAAGGGAGGCTATCACAAATTTTTTAGAAGAAAAGGCTCAGGATAGGTTCTTATAGGTCTAAGAATGATGGGTTTGTGGCTAATATTATTGAGAGAGGTGTCATTGTTGGAGGAGAAAAGATGCATGCAATGGTCTGCTTTGGTTTTAACAGAGAGGGATAACAATCTAAAAAGGTGTTTGTTTGGGATGTCATTGTTGGAGGAGAAAAGATGCATGTAATGGTCTGCTTTGGTTTTAACAGAGATGGATAACAATCTAAAAAGGTGTTTGTTTGGAATTGTAGGCAAGTTGTTTTGGTGTTGACAAAGAGAGTCAAGATGAAGAGTTAATTGGTTTCTTTTTTTCTAGTTAAGAGGGGTTTTTAAATCCTTTGTAAAAATAACAATCCAATTTCTGATTTCTTAAAAACAAAATGATGAAGTTGATCCTTTGTTTTAGATGCAACGCACATTAATGATTTGTTTAAATATGCATGTCTTCTGTATGATTAGGTTTGCTGGTTTATTTAAAAAAATGACCTAAACTGGTTCGGTTTGAATCGGATTTTGATTCAGTTCGGTCTCTATTTTTTAAAATTAATCTAATTCGGTTTGGTTGATTTTTTTAGTTCAAACCAAACCGAACCAAAACATGAATAACCCTAACTATAAGACATGAATCTAATATAAAATATATACCTGTTTTTTCTCTGAAATTAAAAAAAGGGCTCCCTCACTGCAAAAAAAATAAAAATACAAAAATATGTTTTGCTTTTAATTTAATTTTTACGTATTTAATACATTGGCATCAGAGTTAGGAATATTTAGATTCACTAGTGTCAAAAATAAGAATAATCTTGATATTTACTAACGTTAGAGTTATGAATTTTAGACACTAGAATTGGAAACTATTTTGAACTCCAATATTAACTGACACCAAAATTAGGACTATCATACATTTTCTTCATATAATATTTACCAACATCAAAGTTGAAAGTATTTGTTGTTAAATATTTATTGACATCAGAGTCAGAAATATTATAAGCAAACTATTAGTAAGATAATACAACAAATCCTTAGCATTTTAAAACAAAATCAATGATGAAGCCTATCTCAATTAGAATACTTAAGGGGTAATAATATCTTCTTCTTTTTTGCATAATTAGTCTCATATTATAAATCTCTCTATTGATTTATTAGGATTCATAATAATTATCATAACCCAATTTTTGATTTTTTTTTTTTATTTTCTAAATTTTTTTTTGATGAAAATGATGAAAAAAGTAAATGAAGAATGAATTAAAATTTGGGTTAATGACAACATGATTGAAAAGTTTAAATATTTAATTAAACTCTTGACTAGTTTTATTAATTAAATCAAGGGTTTAATTGGAGAATTAATAAATTTTGAAACTTAATTGAGCAAGTTAATTAATCAAATCAAAAGTTTAATTGAAGAATTAATGAGTTTGATGACTTAATTAAACTTTGATTTAATTAATTAAAGGAATAAGGGGTGTAATTGAAGAAATATTAAAATTTGGAGTTGATTTAAGAAACAATTGCTAGAAAATTAAAGTTTAAGGACCAAATTGAATAGTCCAAAAACCCAGGAATGTTGTGTAAATAGCACTATAAATCAAGGATTCAATTGAATTAATCCAAGGGTACAATTAGAAATTGATTATTAATGATTAGGATCTCAATTGTGAAGTTTAAAATGTCCAGGGACCAAAGTGAAAAAATGCCTCAAACACACAAACGGCGCCGTCTGGAAGACTGCGTTCTTCATCCCTTCCGTTTCGCACGAAGAAAACCGATTCAACGGGGAAATCTGCAGCAAATCATGGACCACAATCCCGTTCGTGGGGGGTAACAGTTGTGGAAGCTCTCTGGCCTTTTAAAAGGCAGAGATGAGCAACGAAAGAGGAGGCTAGAACAGGGAGGAAAAACCTAGCACAAAACGAGGAGAAAAACTCAAAGGAAAACCAAAAAAAAGAACGGGGAGGGCCACGAACGACATAACAGGGGAGCGACTGAGAACAAATTCATAAAAAAAAAAAAAGCAGAACCGGGGAAGTGAGGAAGAAGAAAACAGGGGAAGCAGAAGGAATAAACGTAAAAAACAGAATAAAAGAAAAAACAGAAACAGGGGACAAGAGAATAAATAGAGGTTATACAGAGGGGAGAACAAATTTCGGCAGCCACTGCACCTTCATCATCGTCTTCTTCCAGACTAGTGCCAGCCGCGATTCCGGTTGCACCACCTTCCCTTCTTCCCCCCGAACAGAGGAGGGAGCATAGGAGATCGATCAAATACCAGAAGTACGAGAACCAACCATTCGCAGGATCACAAGAACAAAGCAGAAGGAGAAGCAGAGCAGAGGGGGTAGTGACGGCCAGCCAGAGCTTCGACAGTCTCCATCGCCTCCAGCAGAACAGGTAAGCGGCCTCTTCTTCTGTTTTAGTCAATCGCCATTTACACTGTGCAAGTGAATGTTAATTCACTTGCACAGTGTAGCAACACGCGTGCATTAGCGCACGCGTGTTGCTTAGCCCAGCCAGGTCACTGGTTTGGGCCAGTGACCTGGCGGGGCTGGG